CTTGTTAACCACTCGACGCCTCTCTCTCCCAATCTTCTCCAAGCCTCGATCGGTATGCTATCTGGACCCACTGCTTTCTTTCGCCCCATCTTCCTCAGAGCCTCCTTAACTTCCGTTGTTTGATCCTTCTCACAAAAGCACGATTTACCATACAATCTGGTATGGTCAAATCACCGATATCTTGCGTTTTGTTCCCGTTGAATAGTGTATCAAAGTGAGACCTCCACCTTTCTTTTATCTCCCCGTCCTCCATTAGTACTCTTTAATCGACATCCTTCACACACTTAACTTTTCCTATATCTTGAGTCCTACGGTCACGAAGACGAGCAAGTCTATAAATATCTTTTTCTCCTTCCTTAGAGTCCAATTTTGCATACTAATATACTATGTATTAGTATATTAGTATGTATATAATACTCATAGTACATAAATATATGTACTCAGTTCTGTGTTTTTCACTTTTTCCAACAATAATTTGTATATAAACAAAGATATTGATGAAGATATTACTCCGGCATAGGTCAGTGCATATCTAACTTTGATAAACACACAAGTACAAAACCAGCTTTGATAAACACACAACCAGCTTCTAGATACTACTCTGTTTGACCAACCAAAGTAAAACATGGTTGTTAACAAAGGGCTGAGTAAAACATGTTTATCAAAGTGGATATCCACCTTTTACAACACGCAACATGACAAACACAGATTTGAAAACTAAAAGAACATGATAAGCACACAACCAGGTTTGTATTCTTCCATTATTGAGCAGTCATGTTTGAGTGTTTGACCCATATTTATATATATTATATATGTACTCAGCTTTGTGGTTTTCCAAAGCTGTTTTCTAGTGTATTGAATAATTCCAGCTTTGTGCTTTTCGAGGATATGGAAGGTGGAACCAGAGCTGTCAGTGGTGCTTTGTGCTTTTTTATGCATTTTTTGTTCAATATGATTTTACATACATCATATTTGGTAATTATAGAACAGTATATGTGATATTATCTAAGTAATGCGCTTCACCCGAGTCAGGCGAGCGCTTTATTGCGCCTTGCGCCTCGGGAGGCCCCTAGCGCTTCAAGTGCGCCTTTCAACTTTGACTACCTTGACAATGCCTAATGTGGTCCAAAAATTGTGAAACCGGCAAAAACGTTTGAGAGAGATTTTTCCATTATGTTCTCATTTTACTTTTTGGTTCATAGTTATATGTAAAAATTATGTATTAAATATTTTCATTATGTTATGAAGGGAGCGATTGGAGCACTAGATGGAACTTTTGTACACGCAATTGTCTGCTAAAAAGCAAACTATTTATAAAAGAAGATGAGGTGATCGGTGTTACCAAAAGGTTTTAGGAATTTTTGATTTCCATATGATATTCACTTGCGTTTGGGTTGGTTGGGAAGGATTAGCACATGATTGTAGAGTACTTACGCAAGTTGTATTTAATCCTAATTCCGGCTTTCCATTTCCTCCACAAGGTGCATATCATTGTTTATTGGGAAAACTGTCATACAAGTACTCGACTATTGCCAAAAGGTCAATTGAGTCCTCACACCTTTAAATGAATCAATCAAGTATATGAACTGTTAAAAAATAGTCAATTTGGCTTTTTACCGATAATGAGCCGGTGACCTCATTACATACCTATCTGGTAGTCCACTTGGCAATTTTTTGTGATGTTTTCTATTTTTTCAATTTTGTTTTTCTTTTTGTTGTTCCTTTTCTCTTTCTTTGTTTTTTCTCTGCATCGTTGACTCACATTTTCTTCCCGCATGCCGCGCTTCCAACGGGTCACCACTCACCTTACACACTGCCACCTTGTTGCACACTATCACAATCCATGCCGTCATGAACCTGCATAGTATGGCCGGCCATGGTTTGACCACCGAGAACCCACCGGTTATTGCCGCGAACCCACCAAAAAAAACAAAGCCCTGCAACAGCGCCGAGCGAATCAATAACTCCCAACGGCGCCGAGCAAATGAAGAACCTCTACAACGTCTCCCCAAAGCCCTGCAACAACGTCGACCAAGTGAGCGGCCCCTGCAACGGCTCCCCTGCCTCCCCATGTCCCTCCAACTCTAGATTACATCAGATATGAGCATTGGCCCAACCGTCCCAGGCCTAAAACTAATAGGCAACAACCGGGTAAGTGTTCATCGCCGTCGCCGGACCAATGGAGTAGAAGAGACCGCTAGCGAAAAAGCTAAAAGGAACGAGAAAAGAAGAAAAGAAAGAAAGAAAGAAAGAAGGATATTACCGGAGTGACAGGGTCACACGGGAGAAAGAAAGGGAACCAGTGGATGCAAACCCAGGACGAAGAACTCGGCGTGTTTGGAAGAAAGAGAGAAAGAAAAAGGAAAATAAAGAAAAATATAATTTATTGCCACAAGGGCATCCATGTCAGCATTAACCAGTAATAAATATATTCAACCGGCTAGAAAGCCAAATTAGTTATTTTTTAACAATTCATAGACTTAATTGATTCAATTAGAAGTATGAGGACTCGATTGACGACAATAGTATGAGGACTTATTTGACAGTTTTACCTTGTTTATTCTTTCATTGAAATAAAATAAAAATTAACATTGGAATTTGTTACAGATTTATATTATCTATGTGATGTTGCATATGCAAACACTCGTGGTTTTTTAGCTCCATATCGTAACACAAGGTATTGGCAATCAGATTATCAACATCGTCGTGCATTGACTAAAGAAGAAAGATTCAATCATGCACACGCACTCCTTCGGAATGTGATTGAACATACTTATGGTTTCTTGAAAGCAAGGTTTCCAATAGGGAAAAGTGTCAAATAAGCCCTCGTACTATACCGAAAAAGTCGATTAGGCCCTCGTACTTTACAAACACTCAATTAAGTCCTCGAACTATTAAAAAACGTTCAATTAAACCCTTTCGGTCGGTAAGTAATCGGTTTCCCGATTAAATGTAACCCGTTTCCCGGCAGCCGCCGTTGCTGGGGTTCGAGCACATCGTCGCCGTCGTCATCGTTTAACCGGGAAACCAGTTACTTACCGACCAAAAGGGCTTAATTGAACGTTTTTAATAGTTCGAGGACTTAATTGAGTGTTTGTAAAGTACGAGGGCCTAATTGACTTTTTCGGCATAGTACGAGGGCTTATTTGATAGTTTTCCCTTTCCAATATTAGAACATATGGCTCCTTATCCATTTGCGATACAAAGGAATGTGGTGATTGTTTGTTTTGTTGTTCATATTTTTATTAGAAAGTCCAACTTTGATGATGACTTTTTCAATGAATGGGGTGATGACACTATAATCAACAATGAAGCACAAGAGGGAGGTGAAGATTTGGAGAAGAAATACTGTAGCATAATGGGGTACACAAAGTCTACAATACATAACGAATTTGCGGGATGAAATCGCTAATAGACTAGTAGGAAACATTTAAATTTAAAATATTGTTCTCACAAAATGCTTACTTTTTCTTATCATGTAATGTGACTTTTTTATTTTAATAACTCATAGTACTGTTATTCTCAATCATATGAAATTATGTTTCAGAACAGGGAAAGTAAAGAAACAATATACATTCGGCCCTTGTTCCAGAGAAAAGAGTTATTAGGTCATTTGACATTATTCAGACTTTTCATTCAACACACTGAATAAACAGTTTGATATCTCATTGTCACTTAATCCAGATAGAGAACTTAATGTAGAAGACATCTTAACCCATTCAGAACTTAATGAAAAAAAAAGTAAACAGTCCCTAAATTGCACATAATCAGGTAAGAGGGTGTGCTAAATGAAGATGGTAAACAAAAAAAACATAAAAGTTTCCAAATATATTGAAGGCATAAAAAATATGCTCATTTCTAAGGCCTTAAGGCTTTGCTATTAAATTGAGGACTCAAGAAGGTTGAAGGACTATAAACAATTCCATGCATGTTCATTGAAAGCTGCAGCTTAACTTACAAGGGGTGTTTTCAAAGGCAGATATCCAATTGTTTTTAGCCACTCTCGTTAACATCCCACAAGGCAGCAAAATATGCTGAAGATGAGGAAGAAAAAGGGACTCATTTAAACAGGGGCGGAGCCAGGACACTGGACCGGACTGGGCCGGTACAAAGAATATTTTTGAAAAAAAATTACACGGAATTTTTTACACTAAAAATATAGACAGTTTTAAAATTTGGGATGGGCCGTGGCCAGGGTTGGCCACCCTCTAGCTCCGCCCCTACATTCAAAGTGGCCATGAGAGCCAGTCCAACATCTTTCTTCCTTGACTGAGAAATTTCAAACAGGTCTTCAGGTCAATAAGGTAGCTTCTAAAAAGATCATGAGGGTTGTTTCATTTTCTGCACGAAAACAAGGGGCTAGATTTAGTAAAAGGGCAAATCCAATATTTTAAAATAATTTTATATGTAGTATATTACAATTTAATTTGAGGAATGTAAACAGAAGTTTAGTGGCTGCAAATAGAAATACCAATTATAAAGAAAGGGAACTGTGATGCAGCCCATGACTGTACATAGAAGCAGTGATTCGATTATATTCCATATCTAATGCATATAATGCATATTGTGCAGTAGACCTTACTCATGATAATGTCTCCACATTCCACCAACTCCCTCGAGCAGAAGTCTTTAGTGGACAACAAAAATCAAATGCTCCCTCTACCAAAATAAAATTCACTTTCCTTATTTGTCTGTTCCAATGTAAACTTTTTTCCTTCTAACAGCAAAGAATCTTTGATTCATAACGTTCCACACATTTTTAATCCTAGCTACACGTTCAAATTGGAGGATAATAATGTGACAAATCCGATGTTTTCATTGTTCATATTAATTTTAATGAGTTTTGCTAATAGTTGGTGAATTTATGGGACCCTGCGTGTGAGATTGACATAAAAGTATCTAGTCTCTTGAATGTATTACTCTCAAATATCCAACACTCGGTGTGTCCTTTTAGAAAGAAAAAAGAAAAAAAAAAATGGGCCAGAAAGCCAGTCCCAAACCTGCTGGTTAATAATTTGCAAGCAAATGCCGAAGAAGATGAGAAACAAAAATCGGTGAGAGGACATGGTTGCAGCAAGCACATTTTTCAAATTATTATGGGGCCATAATCCTAGATTATCTTGAACCAATAGCTAGCTAGCAATAGAGGAACAAGTTAACAACACTAATGGATCCATTTCTCAATATCAAATTCCTTGGCGAACAGCCAACCAATCTGAATATGGATACAGAGCTACAATTTGGTCAAACTGGTTTTGGTTTGTATTCATTCATTCTTTTGTACTCATGCAACAGTTTTTCTCGTTTCATCAATTTTATAAACGGCCTCAATCATACGCCCCTCATGGATATCTCCAGTTGCTCCATCCTCTTGGCTAAGTCATGTTTCCCACAATGCTTCAACCCATCAGTAACCATATCAAAACTTTGTGACATTGGGTACACATTCAACTCTGTCATCTCCACCAAATAATTGGCAGCTTCCACGAACCGCCCCCCACGGCAACACATCTTGATCATCATCGTATAAACCGGGCGATTCGCAGGGTGTCCCTTCACCCTCACGTCACTGAAGAAACTGAATGCGTCATCAAACCTGCCTCCACGGCAAAGGGATTTCAGAATCGGGGCATAGAGACTAGGAAACGGTCGGTTTCCGTCCTCAACCGACTTGTAAAAGAGCCAGAATGCATCTTCAACCCTCCCCAGCTTCGAAACCGCAGTTATCAAAATCTTGTAAGTCTCAACATTAGGGCACAATCCTAACCTACAAACGTCATGGAAGAGAGTGATGCAGAAATCGGATTCACCAGATTTGCATAACGCTTCTGCTAAAGAATTGAAGGTGTCCACGTCAGGTATAAAGCCCTCTTTCATCATCTTCCTAACGAGACCCTTTGCTGATTCAAGATAACCCGCATTTAACAACCCGTCGATGAGTAGGTCTCGCCCCCGGACAGGTGGGTTGAAACCCTTTCGACTCATCTCCTCCAAGAACCTCTGGGCCTCCTTCATTTTCCCCGCAGAGCACCAACCATTCACAAGGACAGAGTAAGTCCTCTTGTCTGGGGTGACGCCTTTACGTATCATCCTACGGATCAATGTGTATGCCCCCTGAAAATTCTTGACCTCACAGAGGGAGAAAAGCAGTGAATTGTAGACTTCAGTGGTTTGGAGACAGTTCAAGTTGTGGAGGCGGTTAAAGAGATCAACGGCCTGATCAGTGAGTCCATGCTTCCCGTATTGTTCAATGACCAAAGATGCCATTGAGGGGGAAACAGGCACATTTTGTGCCTTCATTTGCAGAACTACCTGTTGTTGAGAAAAAAAGATGAAGTAATTATGATGACGATGATGAAAACAATGATGAATGTGAAGTCCAGCTATGGATGTAAGCTTATGGTTGAGACACATCATTTTCCATAAGCTAATGCAAAATGGTCCAAACCAGCGGGCCACACATGCTTACCACTCCGTCTCATCCATATTATAAGGCACTCCCTAGTCAGTGGTCCTTTTTATAAGGCATTGCAATTTTCTTCCCCATGGAGTATTTATTTATTGTTACCCTCCATTCTGTGCCCTTAACAGACATTGTGGTTTGTTTTTTAAAAGTATATTCATTCATTGGAGTGCCATAGCATGGGAATATCATAATATATATTTAAGAACTCAAGCGTAACAGTTACTTGCGTTGCTTGATTTGATAATTTGATCAGTTTTGACTTATAATAGTAGTAGGGAATAGCATATGAGGAGCAGAAAATAATAAATGTGAAGTCCAGTCCACCTGATAAGACAAGTCAGGCCCTTTACCTTCCACATTGTCTCCCAGTGAGCAGTTCGGGAAAGGGTCTTGAGAAGCTCCTCAAACTCAAGGGTAGTTGGATCATATCGGGGGTGTTGTGTCCTCGCCCAATTGAAGAAGCGGAAGGACTCAATGCCATGTTGGGAGCAGCAACGAAGAACCCGATAAACAAGCTCCGAGTTGACAATGCTAGATATTCGCATTTTATTAAGGGTCCTCTCTAGATAGATGTCTCGGCGTACGATGTTTGATATGTGATGAATGGTTGCAAAGTAGTCATCTTTAGACACTCCTGAGCCAATGTTGGTTAAGCTTCTAGGAACAAAGGCTGCCGAGACTGGAGCCGGGCTTAAAAGTCTATGAAGAATGGCATGACAGAACATTGAGGAGGGAACTGTCAAGAGATGTCTTCGGTTGGGAAAATAATCAAACGGGTGGCACGCAAGCTAGAAGAGGGCGAGACTTTCCCCGCTAGACGGAAACCGATTCAGAAATAAAAACCTAAATGCATGCGAAGGGGAGTCATTTGCAGCCTCCCTCAAGTATATGTAAATGGAACTTTCAGATGGTTCATATTCAAACAACTACACTCCGGGTGGTATGAAACTGGCAGGATTACGGGAACGGATAGTTCAACTGTATAAATAAATGACAATGTCACCCGCACTCCAAAATATGGCAGTTTAAATCTCATTCATAAGACTATTTCTGCTTTGAACGACAGAAGCAAAAGTTGGAGTGTTTGGGTGAAAGTGCAGAAGTAATTCTGGTGCTCTAATTTACGAATCAATTTTTTAGAAGTTAGGAGAGACCGGCTTCTGAAAATTGGTTCTAATTCTACTTCTACTTTAAAAGAGAATCAGAAGCAAAATCGGTTTCAAACACTCCCTAAATTAGTGAAATCCGTGATGTATCCGTGAAGTTTCTAACAGTTTGATATGTACCGGTTCCAAGGATGAAATCAATCGGTACCATGTCATTTCAGAACAGGACAAAACGGTTCGGTACATACCCAACACAAACTAAAACATTTGGACAAATCTTGCAATTAGTAAGTACTATGAAAGATTCTAGAGAATGATTTTTTTTAGGCTAAAGGATCAAATAGGTACATGAACTAACTAAAAGTGTTCAATTAGCTCCTTATATAGGAGGTTCTGCCCGGCCGTCGCCAATTGGGGCGGTTCCCGGCTGAATTTTTTGATGAAATTTTTTGAGCATCTTCTTCATTAAGTCTAGTTTACCCATATCAAATTTCAGATAAAAATTAAATCGGGAAGGAAGTCAAATGATTTTCCAAAATGTACTACATTGTTTAACTGCGCAGTTATCTTCAAAAAATCATTTGACTGCCTTCCTGGTTGAATTTTTAGCTGAAATTTGGTATGGATAAACTAGACTTAATGAAGAAGATTCTCAAAAAAAATCATCAAACAATTCCACCGGGAACCGCCCCAATTGGCGACGGCCGGGCAGAACCTCTGTTAGAACTTTTATTGTGGGTCAAGTTTGTCTGTAATGTCTTGTTTAATAAAGTAGACTAGCTATACCATTTATGGTATTAGATTAGTAATTATTATGTAATAAATAAGTTAAAGGGAATAAGGCCCAAAAAGGCCTTGGCCCAACTTCCAAGGTCTGCATAAACTGGGACCAACAACTGGTATCAGAGCCTGCTCGAGTTCGATCAGTCGCGAAGAAGTTTTCGAAGTTTCTCTGTTTTCATACTTTTCGATATATCTCTTTTTAATCACTGTAATCTTGTTTCTGATCGATAAACTGTAAAAGTTATACCATTGGATTCCCCATTCAGAAACGAACCAAGGGTATATCTTACTTTTCGATTTCAGTAGATTCGGTATTTTTGATTTCTCGATAGTATGAGTTCGAAAAGCAGGGTTCTCGACATTTAAGAAGGTTTTTCAGGACGAAAACTATACAGGAAGACTCTCGAGATCGAAAACTTCACAGAAAAGTTGTTTAAACTGTTTAAAACTGAACTTTTGATTTGCAGGATTTCGATACTACGTTCTCGATACGAGTTCTCGAACTAAGTTCTCGAGATTGCTTTCTCGATACTCGGTTTTCGATACAAAATATCTAAAACTCAGTTTTTCGAATTGCAGGTTCTCGATACAGCTTCTCGACACTCAGTTCTCGAAACTAAGTTCTCGAACTTAGCTTCTCGATACTGAAGTTCTCGATACAGCTTCTCGAATCCAGCTTCTCGATAAACAGGTTCTCGATATTCACTATCGAAAACTGGTTCTCGATAAAACTTCTCGAACTCTAGTTTTCGAATTTTTTCTTGAATTAGGTTTTCGACATTCTGCATCTTAAATTTTTTCTGATCAAAACACTCGACCGATCTGTTAAGGCTCAATCAGCAAAGATGGAAGCATTAGCACTTGGAAATGACAACAGACCACCCATCCTCAGAAAAGGAGAATATCAAATGTGGAAGACAAGATTCTTGAACTTTCTGAAAGGAAAAGATAATTCATCTGCCATGCTTGAATCGCTCACACAAGGTCCTGCTGAGATCTATACAGAGATAGACACCTCAGATGTAAACAACCCCCTGTTAACTTTGTGAAAAGACTGAAGACAAAAGGCGAATACACTGAAGCTGACAAGTTGAGAATCAAAGCTGATCTCATGGCAAAAACATATCTGCTGCAAGCTATCCCCAATGATATCTACATTCTGATAGACAGCACGGAGACAACAAAGGAAATGTGGGATGAGGTGAAGAAGTTAATGATTGGAACTGATCTTGGCTTGAAGACAAAGAAAGCGAACATCTTGACTGCCTATGATGCTTTTAAAGCCCTACCTGGTGAGGCGCTCCATGAGACGTATAACAGATTCGTACAATTGATCAATGAGATGAGAAAGATCAAAGTTGTCAAATCTAATATGGAAATGAACATACGTTTCTTGTCGAGCCTGCCACCAGAATGGAGAAGAACGGTTAAGAATCTACGACAGCACCTGGATTTGGATGAACTTGACCTCTGCACTGTCCATGAACATCTACAGCAGTTTGTTAATGACACTGCTGAGATGGAAGGAAGCTTCTCTGCTAATCCTTTAGCACTCATGATTGAAGCTAAATCAAAGAGTTCATCTAAGGGTCTGAAGAAGAAGAAGGCAGTTAAGATGGAGTCAGAAGAAGAAGAAAGTGAAGAAGAAGTGGATGTTGAATCTGAGTTGGCTGATCTACAGAAGAAGATGGCACTACTTACCAATCAGTTCAACAAAAGGTTTGCCAAGAAAGGAAGCTCATCAAACAAGCTTCGAACCTCCTCTGCCAACTACAAATCAAAAAACAATGATCAAAACTCTTCTAGTAGAGTTGTTGCAGCAGAAGACCCTCTCAAATGCTTTAACTGTGGAAAAGCTGGACATGTTATCAAGGACTGTCGCTTACCAAGGAAGAGGGACTTCAACTATTACAAGCAAAAGATGCTGTGGAACAAGCAGAAGATGTTCATGGCTAAGCAAGATGATGATAGTGCTGCAACACTTACTGAGAATGATCCATGGCAGGAGGAGAGTTCAGATGAAGAAGAAGAAGAGAATCTGGCCCTGATGGCGTTTGTGGAAGAAGAAGAAAAGGAAAAGGGTGATGCTGCGATCCCCGGGAAAAGTCAAAGTTCAAGCTCAAACACCACTGTATGTACTTCTGAACCTTCTTGCTCATGTACCTGCAAAGTTCATTCCTCACATGAAAAAGATAACACCATAAAGGAGTTAAAAGACAGATTAGATCATAACTACAAAGTGGTACTTGATACTCTAGACAAGAGTCACTCCCGGAAGTTACAACTAGAAAATGAGAAAGAAAGAGTTCAGAAACAAAATTTAGAAGCAGAGAAGCTTACACAGAAAATAGTTGAACTAACTAAGAGGGTTAGTGACACAGAACTAGAACGAAACGTTGCGAAAGCAGAAAACGACTTTCTACGTAAACAAAGATGTTCTCTTTACACAAAAATCAAAGAGTTAGAAGATCTACTGGTCAAAAGAGGACAAACTGAACAAACAATTTTCTTAAACCAAAACAGGGACACTCGGTTTTATAACTTAAAGGAAGGTCTTGGCTTTACTAACCCCAACAATCTGAAAAAGATTGATTGTCTCCAACTTTACAACATAAAGTACATGGGGTTAGGATTGACCAAGTTAATGGCTTTTACCTACGGGAAAGAAACCGCAGAAGAAGAAGAGGTAAAGCGGTCAAATCCTTTAAAAGCCGAAATTCCTTTCAGTTATGATTCCCTGAACAAAAGCTATGAAAATACTGAACCTGTTTTGTCAACTGATGAGAGTGTGAGTCTCTATCCTACTGAGAAGGAAGTTGTGTCAGACCCTGAACCTCCTTCAACCTCAGGTTCAAGTGGAGAAGAACCCTATATCCCTCCACTGATCAGAAAATTTGAAAACCTACACATTTCTTTAGAAAATCAAAGAAAGAGTTTTGAAGAAGAAAGAAAAAGTTTTGAAAGTGAGAGGGAGAGGTTGTTGAGAGAACTGACCATTTTAAAGGAAAGTTCTCAATCTGGCACAACTTCCCAATCATCTAGTGATACTGATGCTTCTCAAAGAAATTTGAACAAATCTAAATTTTTCCAAAAGACATCCACTCACTCCGAATCTCCTTTGAAAGCAGGAAGAGAAGTAAGTAGGAGATTAGAGAGAAGAAGAGAGTGGAAGTTGAAGAGAGAGGAGATTGCTGAAGGAAAGAAGAAGATGTTTTCTGAGAATAAAAAGTCTTGCTCAAATGCTGTTTTCTATTCTAATAAGCGTAGATCTAGTTCTATGTCACAGTCATGTAGTTCTAGTTCAGTCTTGTGTCCCAAGCTGAATCATTCTAAGTTTAAATCTGATACTTTCATTATCAATGAAAAGTTGTTTACTTCTGGGTTTGTGAATCCTTGCAATGATACTTTTGGTTCTGATAATGATGTAAATGTTGTACGTGAGAAAGAAAAAAGAGAGCGCAAACAAAGAAAACAGTCTGAGAATAGAACTGTAGAGGGTGTCTATAATCTTCCAAATTTAAGATATCCTCTTAGAGTTCATTCGAAGAAACATTTACAACGTCTCTCTAAAGAAGAAATTTTCAAACCTTATCTCACGAACCAGCCATTCACACATAGAAACAAAGACTCTGTCTCCTCCGCTCCTAAAATCAAACAAAAATGGATACCAAAAGCTGAACTTGAAAAACAAAGAACATTATCTGAAAAGGCTGTTGACCTTGGATCACAGCTGAAAGAAAAATTCAAAAAGATATTCTCAATTGATAAGGAAGGACCCATCCTGCGGTGGGTACCTAAAAGTCCTTAATCTGTTTTGCAGGACGGTCATGTGTGGCATTTAGATTCTGGCTGCTCAACCCCCATGACCGGAATAAAAGAGCTGTTAAGCAACTATACTAAGTGCTACGGAGGAAATGTGAGATTTGGAAACAATGCAGCATCTCCAATCCTAGGAATGGGGATGTCATCTGTGCAAGTGTCACCATCAAGGCTGTGTCATACGTGAAAGGACTGAAGCATAATCTGCTAAGCATTGGACAGTTCTGTGATAGTGGCATGGAAGTGAAGTTTATATCCAGACAATGCTGTGTGCTGGACAGGTTTGGGAAAGTACTATTAA